GTTTTCAAACAGCACCATTTACGTAAATAACTTCTCAGATAACCCTACTTTGGTCAAAAAGCCCAGTATTACACCACATTATTGTATCTACAAAATGAGACGCATAACCCACATGCATGATGCATTTCACCCAATAACATAAAAGTGTGTTTCAAAAATGTACTATTAAAGAATTATATTACTAGCATCTTTTAAGTAATATATTGACTGGAATTCACATAGTCTACAAGGCTTCAAATCTTTAGAATACAGTGAGATCTACATGAATTTCACCCTATAGCAGACTAGCAGTGTGTTGAAAAAAATTAATTAAAGAATTATATTACTAACATTTTTCTTTAGTAATATATTGACAGGAATTCACATTCTAAAGACTAAATCTTTAGCATATAGCTGCTGGAATTCGTAAGAGATAGGGAAACAACAAGCATGCTTTTAAGAAAGTGAGTTAAGAATTTAACTCAATCTTACAAAACTAACTTATAAAGTAAAAAATGTTCTCCACCAATATATATTATTATGATCTTATTCTTAATTGATGTTAGATTTTCAACACCTCCTCACACCAAGGACTGATATCTAAAATGTGAAATTTGTAATACTGCACATCTACGGATAGTCTGATAATGATCCGATAGCAAGTAGCCTAATAAGCCCATTAATAATTAATCATCACTAGGATATAGACACTAATATGCTATGATACCATCTTAAGAAAGTTGATTAAGAGTCTAATTCAACTTATAAAATTAACTTATAAGGTGAGAATTGTTCTTCACTTATAAATACTATTATGGCCTGATCCCTAGTCAATGTGAGGTCTCTAACACACTCCCTCACGCTGAGGATTGGACATCTTGAGCATGAAATTTGCAAGACTGAATATCAGCGGCTGGTCTAATAACGGGTGACTTGATAAGCTCACTAACAATTGATAGTTACTAAGATATAGGTTCTAACACCATCTTAAGAAAGTAGGTTAAGAGGCTACGTCAAGCTTACAAAACTAACTTGTAAAATGATAATTGTTCTCCATTTATATACCATTATAGTCTTCTTCCTAGTTGATCTCCAACACATGCAAATAAAATCATATATATATATATATATATTGCTAGATATAGGTAACCAACGAGAAACTAAAACAAATTCTTCTTTATAGATTAACTGATATTCTAAAATAAACTGTTGTTCTTTTTCTTTATTCTTTAGTTTGCTGAGAACTTCATGTATGTGTTTGTGAAGCTACAATTTTAACTATGCACAAAGCATTGAAATATTGTTTCAAGAACCACCAGCCTCCTTTTTCTCTATCAGCTTCACAAAATTATGGACAATTTTCTTGCCTTCAGTGGTTATAATGCTCTCTGGATGAAACTGAACCCCCTGTAATTGCAAAGAAATTAAATTTCAGTATGTGAATAGAAAGTAGACAAAGTGCAAGTTCAAAGATTAAAAAAAAAAAAAAACGCATGAACTTCAAATCACTGAAAAGGATAGGTAACACGATATAAGGGTTGCATCAATCCAGAAAAAAAAAAATTATTAATGTACATTTACTATGTGATTCAGTTTGCCAAAATAGGAAATTAAGCCCATCATGCTTGTTTTGGCTTTAAATGCAGGGAAAAATCGCTTTTTTAAGCTTTCAGGAAGCTGGTTTGGAAGTGATTATTTTTTCATAATAAACTAAATCAAACACAAGATAGTTCTACAACAGCTAATATAGAAGTTATACTGATGAAATTACTTGACAGTGATGAGTAAATGTTGTACAGAATATGTTCTAGTCTGGAAATTTTAAGGACATGTAACAGAAATGCTGCAGGTTTTAAAGAGAGAGAGCACATTGATTCGTGGCTTATGCAGTCAGGTTTATAAATTTTCTGAATTTGAAAGACAAAACTGTCATTTATAGAATGTACTTTACATTAATACAAGTTTCTTGAACATGGGAAAGTAATACTCATGTAGCCTGTGGATGATGTCAACTAAACTCCATATCAGGAATGAACCTGATTTCACTATTTTTCCTTTGTGGAAAGGACATAGATTCCCTTCTAGATTGTATTAGAAAAATACCAAGTTGTGGTTTTATCCTCTCCTAAATGAACGTCAGGAATTAACAGTTACACTTAGTCAATTAAGCTGCAATATGAATGAATAGTAACACTTCAATCCCATAAATTAATCATCGAGTTCCAATACTTTATTTAATCTTGATAACAAGGTATTTCTTTTATGTTCCTTTCATGTATTATAGAACACTCGATATTTTAGACCAAGTTACTTTACATTGATACAAATAGTAGAATCAAAAGACAATCCTGAAAAAGACAATCAGTTCCAAAGGAAGATCAAGATGTTACCTGTAGATGCTTATATTTCTTATGACGAGCAGCCATGATAAGACCATCCTCTGTCCAAGCAGTTACCTCAAGCTCTTCATCAGGAAAGCTCTCTTTCTCAATCACAAGGCTGTGATATCTACCAGCCAAGAAAGGACTGAAAATGGTTCAAATTAAAAAGGAGCAAAATCATGTCAGAACTCGGAAAAAGTTGGAAGCCAAGAGGATGCTGCTGCTGATAACCAATAGTAAACCATACTGAGAATATTGGAAACAGAGAATGCATCCACAAAATTTCATACAAAAGTAACAAAACCATACTTGGATAACCCAGCAAGGACTCCATCTTCTCCTTTCTCATCATAGTAAACCATAGAGCTTTTCCCATGCATGACACCGTAAGGAGAGCGGACAATCTTCCCTGCACAGGATAAAAGGAGAAATGAAGTTGAGAGACAGAGACTAAATGGTAAAGGTCAAAATGCATGGGATGCTTCCGCCAAAAAAGAGAGTCAAGTTAATGATGAAAAACATACAAATATATCAAGATTTTTTACACTCATTTATATGCACCTAATCATGGGTGGAGCCAGAAATTTGGCTCGTGCAGAGCCATGAAAAAAGAATTAACACTCGTGTAGATATCTTGACATCATATATATTCCATTAATACATTTAATTTTTTGTATCTATTCCTCTTTTTATCACATTATATATCAATCATACGTTCCCACTTATATTTCTTTCCTTCTTTTCTCTTTAGTGTCAACTAACATTATAATTTTCATCTACCAATGTTTAATACTTTTTTATATATTTTAGGGGACCATAAAAATATTTTTGTAGCCATCACTTAAATACATTTAGAAAAAATAGGGTAGAGGGGGTGGATTAATAGATCTATCAGTGGTTACGGGGACCACAAGGAATCTATTATTCAGACTCACCTCCAAAAGCCTCTCCCATGCACTGCAAACCCATGCACACACCAAACAACGGTACTGTTGGTCCAAGTTCCAAAACTGTTTGCAAAGATATGCCTGAATCTTGAGGTTCTCCTGTAGGATTAAACAATGTAAGTTAGTAGTATTTTGCATTTATTCAATTATTTCTTTATCTATTATCTAAACATTGATCATGCATTATAGGAATTTGTTAATTAAGAAATCTAAAAATAATTGAAAATTCTAAATAAGCCAGGCCTACCTGGCCCAGGTGATATCAGCACTCCTCTAGGATTTTTCCTATGCAAAACACACAAAATAAATAAACATAGTTCGCCTTCCACATCAGGAACAGAACATGCATTATCCCATATACTGCTTCCTCGGTAAGATAATCTTATACATGCATAACCAGCAAAAACAATTTTACCTTCTTAACTCCTCCACTGTCAACTCATCATTGCGGTAGACCTCAAAGTGAAATCCCAACTCCCCCATATACTTCAAATGCAAATGATACAATGTTAGAATAACCACTTTTGTAAAACAAACAGATGCACGTGTACAACAACAGATTCAGTACAAAGCTCTCATATCTGTTCCTAATTGCACATTTCTTAAAACAGGGAGGGAATAATGTCAAACATTTGAAAAAGTTCAGTACTTCAGTTAAATTTGAAGAGAAAGGGAGTGAGGGGAATTTAAGACTCTTGGTATGGAAATCACTCTGCAATATTTTCTTTTGTCATATAAATTCAGTGTTAAATTTGCCATTAGCCCCTCCCCTTCACTGCATGAGGTCCAAATCTAAAGCTAATCTCCCCCTTCACAGCCAGCCAATAAATTTGGGTCCTTTAAATTGGAAAATTTTCAGATGGAAAACACAGAAGGGCTTGAAATTAGCAAAAAGTAAAGCTCTGCTTGCTGCATTTTTTCACAAATAATGTCAAGAATTTGAATCACTGGTTTGGTCTCAACAAATTTAGCTAATTTGAATCATTTTACAATAACTCTCAGGCCAATTACAAAACGGATTTAGGTCTTATACAATTCTTCAAATTCGTCAAAATTCCAGGATTTTCAGCACAGAAATAAACACACACACACACACACAAACACATGCACAATAAAGAATCCCGAGATCCAATCAACATCAAGAAGGAATCACACAAATGATAAACAACGGATTTATGTCTTTGACAATTCCTCAAATCCCTTAATTCCCAGGATTTTCAACACACAATTAACAAACACACGCACAAAGAAATTATTAGTAAAACACAATCAACAACACCCCTAGATTTTCTCAACCAAACACAATGAGTAAAGCACATTATACACTCACCAAGCAACAAAAAAAAACAATTAAACCAACATTAAGAAGGAATCACGCCAATCCCAAAGAAAGCAGAGATTACAGATAAAGCCAGCCATGACAATCCACATGAAGAGAGAATGAAACAGAAAAAGACAAAGAAGCAACCTGGCAGAGATTATAGGTGAAGCTGTCATAGTTGTCAATAACAACAATGGGGTTGTTGTTGGACTTCTTAGCCAAAACGGGGGAATTGGAATTGGCCTCCAAGGCATCCAAAGTGGCCTTTGTCACCACCCCATTTGCCCTTTTGGCCATAGAAACCACACCTGCTAGCAAAAATCCAAACTTTGGATCACCAAAACTCATTCATCATAAAAAAATTTGCAAGGAGAAACAGAAAAGGTACCATTATTTGCAACAAGAGGCTTGTGGCGGTTGGTTAGAGAATGGGGAAAGAGAGAAGGGTTGGGCCGAAGGAGCGTAGATTGAGAGAAGAATGTGGCAGCCATGTTCACTCGTTCACAAAGAAATCTAAGTATTGAGCAATTTTCAGAGACAAGCACCTTATTTATTGTGCATAACGCATCACGTTTTACAGAATTTTCTTAAGGCTTTCTTTATGACATGCCCTTTTTTATTATTACTTTTATTAATGGGGTTATTTTTTTTTAGTATAAAAACGAGGCAACTCTCTTTCATTTCGGGAATAAAATAGTACTCAATTATATCCATAATAATAAATATCATTCTTGATTATTTTACAAGTATAGAAAAAATTTAATAAATACATGAAAAATAATATTATCATTATAAAATTAATTTTATTAATAAATTTTTTTCAATAATGATGCGATACAAAAACTTTCAAAAATAATATTATTAAAAATATATTAATATTGTTGACATAAGTGAGAATAATTCATGTCTCATACTTAAATGATTTATGATCCGATCTTAACTTTGAAATGATTAAAAAAAATAAAAGAGATAATTAATATTTCATTAACACTTATCTTAAAAAAAATTCACCTAATACTTATTATGGGATAGAAGTAATATATTTTGTTGTAATTTCATGTCTAAATATATATATATATATATATAGGGACAGATCTACATAGGAGATAGTGGGGGCACTTGTCTCATTACCATTTTATGCATATATTTTTTTTATCCAAAAAATAATATATTTTAAAAAATAAAATTTATATTCTAATAATATATATATATATATATATTTAAATTATCATATGTATAAAATATAAATTTGATGGAGGTGTTCATTTATTTAATCTTTTTTAAATTTTTAAAGGAGATTAGTTCTCATATGTGATAAAAAAAAATGTCTTAATAACAAA